AAAACTTGGACCAAAATATATAGGACCTTTTCCAATTAAAAGGATCATAAATCCAGTAACAGTAGAATTAGAATTACCCAAAAACCTCAGGCAAATACACCCAATTTTTCATTGCAGCTTGCTGAAAAGAGAGCATCAGTCACCTCTACGGCCAAAAATCCCCCCCCCACCACCTCCAATCATGGTGGAGGGGGAACAACACTTCGAAATAAAAGAGATCCTTGACTCTAGGAGATATCGTGGAACAACTCAGTACCTAGTTGCCTGGAAACACCTCCCTGCCTCACAAAATGAGTGGGTCCATAAACGTCACGTCAGAGCCCCGAAGCTATTGAAGAAGTTTCACACAGAGTATCCTAACAAGCCTAACTAAATTTTTTACTTGTGTTTTCTTTCAGGTGGATCTCTCTTATTGTTAAGAGGGGCCGGATGTCAGAATCCAATTATATTTCATCTTTAATTATCAAACATAGAAACTCCCAATTCTGCCTTCTCTGGATTCTGCCATAAGAGGGAGAAAAGGGGGAGAGCAAAGGGGCTTTATGGCCCTCACTTCCTTCAGCACACTTCAAAGGACTGAATGTGTGTTTATTGTGGCCTCTAAGCTTTAACATATCAAAGAAGAGTAATTGCCTTTCATGTAGTTATCTGAAGTCTCCATCCAGACGGAAGAAGAAAGGGGATGGAATTGTGATACTTGAAACTATCACTGGAAAGGGGGTTGATTGGGTGGGACTACTGGGGAACCCCTTAAAACCTTGAATGGGAGAGCTTGAACCCCAAGTCCTGTCTAGCATGCCTGCAACCATTTTCTCTTAATAAAGGATTCCTGTTGGAAGAGCTATTCCAAGAGTTCTGTCTTCTTAAGATGCAAAGTGGGGTGGGTCCTTACAGAAACATTTTGCATCCCTATCATGTCAATTGAGAATTAATTAAACATCACTCTTCGCTAAGTTGAATTTTGTTAAATTTGCAGGATCAATGAATCTTAAAATCTCATATAAAAATCTTAACAGTCGAGTTAGGATTTTCCATGAATTTTATTATACAGATACTTCTTGATTTACAACCACAATTGAGCCCAACATTTTGGTTGCTAAATGAAACAGTTACTAAGTGAGTTTAGCCCCATTTTATGACCTCATAAAATGGGGCAAAATTACTTAACAATTTTTTCTTAACAATGGAAAATTTGGGTTCAGTTGTGGCTGTAAGTCAAGGTCTAACTGTAATCAATTTAAAAATACATTGAATTTTCCATGCTTCATGTTTCCCAACCAGACTTTCTAAAAACCTAAAAGATATTTGGAGCCAATACTTTAAGAGTACTCAGGCCAGAAGTATTGGATATCCCCAAACTTATGGATGGTATTAGATTTGGGATACATGATATTTCATATTTAAAACAATGCAGTTATGTCTTGGATTAAACTAGTAATTTCTTAACTAGTTTTTTTTAAATAGATATTTTATTGATTTTTATCTATAACAATCTCCAGTGCCTGATGTATAGCATGTTGTCTTGGTTTATATTTTAACAAGAAAAAAGGACAGTGATAATTAACAGTCAATAATAATTAAATTTGATAATTCCATAATTAATATATTAATTAATAGTACATTTCTTTGATTTTCCCTTCTCCCATTTGTATTTTCCTTCTTCAACCTTAGCCAAAATATAATTCTTAATATTTTCAATATATAAATGATTAGGTATAGGCATTTTTTATATTTATACAAATAAGAATAATCTCTCTATATAACATTTTTTCAGCTTATATTCTCATAATCATTAATTCAGCATACATCCTATTTTTATAATTTTTGTTCGCTTAGATTCCCTTATATTCAATCCAAATCTTATCACTCATAATTTCTTCATATTAGTCATCTCACTGTCTAAATTTTCCCATTTAGGTACATCATCCCATTGTTTTATGTCATGCATTATAAAAATACTATACTTTTTTTTTATTCCAGAAGATGGTAGAGGACAGGAAGACCTGGAGGAACGTTGTCCATGGGGTCGCGATGGGTCGGACATGACTTCGAAATTAACAACAAATACTTTTTATCTGTCTTTTAATATCTATATATAAATCCGTTTTAATCAATTTATATTTTATTAATAAAATATAGTTATATTTATATTTTATTAATAAAAGTTACATCAACCTACTTTTAACATTTAATATATTATAAAACATACTATATTACTTAAATCTCATTATCGTTCTTGTTATAAGGCCCCTTTATGTTCGAAATTCTCTGTTCTTTTAGCCATATTCAAACAAATGTTTATTCACGTTAATAGTCTATCTGGTAGGGCAAGTCAAATCTCTTGTATCTGTCTCTGATCTTCTTTTGCCAAGTAATTTTCCAAGTTGATATAATCCGCTTACTCAACAGTTCCTATATTTTTACAAATGTTGGGAATACAAAAGATGAAGTAAGTAAAATAAATTCTTTCTGTCCCCCAAACTTTAATAGTTCTCCTAATAATTCCATTTTTCTTGTTGTATCAGAATCTTGTAGATTTTTTTCCTGTTTTGTGTCAAATTGTAATTCTTTTCCTTTGTTATTTCATCAATTTGATCATACTCTTCTAGTTTGTAATCTGCTATCTGATTTGTTTGTTCCTTTGTTGTTATTTCCTAGATATTTTTTAATTGTAGATTTAGATTGGAAATATGCTTATTTAAATCCTCAAAGTTGTTTCGAATTTCGTTGTGGTTTGAATCTATTGTTGTTTGTATTTGTCCTAACATTACATATATTTCCTCCGGGAAAGTATTTATCTTGCCTTGAAGTATTGTTTCTGGAGGCCCTTGATTTTCCAAGCTAAGTCCTTCAGGAGAAAATATTGAATATGGCACCCTGTCATTTTTTGATACGTATGTGATATCCATGTTGTCTCCCCCCTTCAAATAATTCTTCATCAATGTTTTAATTCAAAAATCAATTATCAGTCAGTCAAAATTACAGATTCAGTATATTAAGTCACTTTAAATCCTTCCTGCAAATTCTCCTCTAATAGATTAGAGCCAAGGGGTTTTTTTCCCCCATAAACAGTTCTTAGGTTTAAGCAACAGTCCAGGTGTTGTTGTTGTTTTCTTTCAAACACTTTTTAATCTTATAGCTGGCTCTTCATTTGTTCCCAGCTGTCTTCAAGGTTATTTGCAATTCAAAGGAACAACTTTTTCTTCCTGGGTATTCTGCCAATTTCTGGGTCCTTAGTGTTCTATTCTCTGATTCTCCACTAGATATCAGTAGTTATTTCTTTTTTCAGTTTTTCTTTCAATCAAAAAGTTACTTTTGTTACATATTTTTATAATTCCATCATAAATTTTTTAGGGTATAATCTTGACAGTTTTTTAGTTCCTAGATTTGTCCAGACTGAAATATTTTAAATCAAATTTTAGTATATCTCTTTGCACCTTTTATGTTAATTCGCCGCTTCCGTCTGTAAGGGAATGGGGATGTAGTCCCCTCCTTTCACTTCTGGAGGTTTTCTTGCTTTGGGGATCTTTTTAAGGATTTAAATAGTAGATAGAAGAAAGAAGATCAGTACTCTCACCAATTCCAAGCATGCTGTTCACCGATGTTTAGGTTTGTGCTCTGGAACTTGCCACAGTTTTTCCCGAAAATAAAATCCACCTAAAAAATAAGCCCTAGCTGGATTTTTGGCATGTGGCTAATAAAAGCCCTATTCCAAAAATAAGCCCTAGTTAAGAACCCGCTCACTCTGTTCCACCATTTGATTGCTCGCAGCCACAACTGGGCAGCAGAGCGCATGTTGCACCAGTGCTGCCAGCACGAAGAGAGGTGATCTGCAGAGTAGAGCCGTCGTGGACTGAAGAAAGCACCTCCAGTGGTGGAGGTGGCTGATGCACAGCGGCTACAGAGGCCTTTTGCCGTCACTCCTCCCTGGTTCCAAAACAGTGGAGGGAGACTAAGGTGACCAAGCCTCCCCCGCCCATCTGACTTGGGAGGGTAGTGAAAGGGAAGAGACAGGCAGGCAGCCGGGGCATTGAATGGGTGGGGAGAGGTCAACGAGCGGGGTGTGGCCTGGCTACGGGGAGCCTGGCTACGGGGAGCCTGAGGTAAGCGATACGGGGTGCAGCTCCACCCCCTTACCTGCCTCACCTCACTTTGTGGCAGTGGCACCGGTGTGATGCACGCTGTGCTACTCTGTTGCAAAGGTGAGCAACCAGATGATGGGATGGAGTCAGCAGGGGGGCCGCAAAGTCAGACATCCCCCCCAAATAAGCCCTAATAGGTCTTTTGGTCCCCAAAACAATACAATATCCAGTCTTATTTTCAGGGGAAACGTGGGTAAGTGAATCTAGCTTCCCTATTGACTTTGCTAGTCAGCAGGTTGCAAAAGTTAATGGAGTTTATAACCTGGATTCGAAGTTCTGACAGTTACCCACCTTCCCCTCCCCACAGTCACATAACTATATTTTGGTCACTCGACATCTGGCCATTTGCAGTGACATAACTACAATTTATGATGCTATTCCCAGAGATCTGAATTTGTTTTCTGTTGCTAGTGAAAAATGCCCGATAGCAAATAATGTATCTGCTTAATGATACTCACAGAAAATGACATAAAATCAGGCATGATCATGTGATGATCTGCTTTATGACTATCATAACTTATAATTGAAAACGCAGGCTCAATTATGGTCAAGGATCACCTATATACCGATTGTCACATAAGAACATCTTATAAGTAGATTATTTCTTATAGCACACTCTTTTTAGTCCAGAATGAGAACTAGTTAGAATGAATTCTCTAAACTTTTAAAAATCCATTCTGATTTGGAAGTATCTGAATGATTTCTTCAGCCCTGAATATTGTTAGTCTTCTTTTACCTGGAATTGTTTTTTTTTCTTTTCAAAATTGTTAATTCTAAACATTTTATTAGTCTTGGAATGTAGTCTTTTATGCGATCTTCACACAACCTTTTTGTTTTGTTTTGCTATTTATCTTACAGTTATTGTTGCTGATTGGATTCATTTGTATAAGATCTTCACAGTGGACAGATCACAGTGCATACAGCTACTTTGAAATTGTCTGCATATGTGACTTAATTATGATCTTCATCTTTTACATTATCTACATCTTTAGAGCCTATCGAAAGTTGACTTGCATTAGCTGGCCTCTTGCGGTAAGTTCCTATCCATAATTAAAATAATCTTTGTCAACTTCCAGAAAGATTACTGCTTACATTAAATTGTTTTGTTACACTTGTATCTGAACTCCAGCAATTCCTATGTAGCATTTTTACTCCAAATTTCCACTAGAAGTTATTATTTAGGATTTCAGCATCTGATGATACATAGTTTCTAGTACCTAAGGAAAATATTAACATACAAACAGGAACCACTGAATGTCTTATTTATTTATTTATTTATGAGACTTATAAGTGCAAGCACTCTCTAAGCGGTGTACACCAGTAAGCAATGTATATATATATATTTACATTGCCCCCAACAATCTGGGTCCTCATAAAGTTTAAATGGCTGAATTTTTATCAATCTGTGTAACCTGCATTTTTAGCAAGGTAATGGGAATAGATATAGTACACACTTTGCTACTCATAATCTGCTCTGGTTTAGTTATCATCCTTTCAGATTGCCAAACATAATCGCTTAGAGGTGTAATGGCCTCTGTATTTCCTGATTTTAGTTCTATGTTTTCCACTGCTACCTCTCTGCATTAGGCAGACATACCCACCCACCAGGGACAGGCTCACTGCAGTGGAAGATCATCAATTAAAGAGGGTACTGTATCTTGTAGTACAACATGTAGAATATCCCAACCTTAGACCCATACATCTCTAGACTGAAAAACCTGAAAGGCATCTGGCCATGACTGTTAAATTCTTAGCCATCCCACTATCATAGAAAGCAATATTCTTCCAGAGTGTTTTATCCAAGATTTATTGAAAGAGGATAGGAGAGAAATCTCAACACCTGGATTTTTTCACTTCTCCTCCCCCTCCTTTCCATTTATTTTCAAGGTTCCTAAGGCATAAACTTAAATAGCTGAAGTTTCTTGAACAGCTGAAGGTTCCTGTGTGAATTGGTGAGGAGGCTGGTATCTTAACCAATAAGGGAGGAATGGCCTACTTGTTTGAAAGTGAATGTCTATCTCTTTATAAAAATACAATTACATTCCATCACTGGTCAATAGAAAAATCTAAGACAGATATACCAAGTATAAGGCAACTTCATATTTTCTGAAAAATCTACCATGCTGAATGCATAACTTTTAATTTATATACTACTAAAATCTCATATTTGTAACCTTTAACTAGGCGAAACATTCTGAACCAAGGTACCTCAAATGACCTAACTTATAGAATGCCTCCAAAATCTGGAAGCTATGACTCCTGTGGAACATTTAACAACATAACAGTACCATAAAGGAGTTTATCACATAATACTAAATGTCATAAAACATTTCTTGTGGTTAGCTCCTGATGTTTTCTATATAGTTCAGCATGGGCTATTTCCAAGACAGGTACATCTTTGAATATTTCCTTGAATCTTTAAAAAAAAACTTTTCAAATAAACGAGAAACCATGCTATTTTTGAAGGCATTGAGGAATCTGGTAAGGAAATATCTCTGCAATGATGAGCCAAGGGAACATGGGTTGTTCGATGATTTCATGGAGTAGTAACTGTCCAAAGAAAAAAAAGTGGTGCATGCTTCTATATTTTTTAAAAAAAACTAGGCAGTGGGGTAACAATCATATCCATTTTATTAGAATGGCATTTTTTCCCTTCTGTCTTTCATTTGGGAAAGGTTATCTAGAAGAAAATGAATAAATAGTTTCAAATTTGCATTTTTTAGTTTATTTGCCACCTATCTTACTGTGGAGCTACACCACGAGCCTTAGAACAGTAAAAAGGAAGAAATGAAAAGAGTGTAAACAAAACAGAAAAGAAAGTAAGAGAACAAGAAAATAAACAATGAACAAGAAAATGAAAATACATCAGTACAATAATAAAGAGATGGGTGGGTGGAGAGCAAGAGGGGGAGATGGAATTTGGAGGTCTTCAGGCTCCTGCAGAAAAATAGAGGATGGGGCAGATATTACTCTAGAGAGTAGGATGTTCCAAAGGCTGGACATTGTGGCAGAGATCGTGCAGAATTCTTTGATTGACAGTATCCAAAGCAGGCCCTCTCTGCCAGCAAAAGTAGGACAGGCTTGTCTTAGTGGGATGAGACAGTTCATCAGGTAGCCTGGACCTATGCCATTAAGGACTTTAAAGATGATAATCAATACCTTGAACTGTACTTGGAAGCAGACTGTTATCCAGTGAAATTTGTGGAGCAGAGATGGATGATTCTAGGGGCACTAAAGACTGCTTTTGCTGCTGCAGTTTGCACCAACTAAAGCTTCTGAATGGATTTCAAGGGTAGCTCCAGGTAGAATACATTGCAGTAGTCCAGACAAGGACTTGAATAACTGAGTGCAGGGATTCATGATCCAGAAAAGTTTGTAGCTGGTGCACAAACTGCGGCAAAAGATCTCCTAGTCAGGCCTGCTACCTGCTCTTTGAGCACGAGATGTAAATTCAGGAGAACCCCTAAATTACAAATTGGATCTGAATAGATAGTGCAACCCTGTCCAGAACTAAGGATGCAAAAACTCGGATCGTGAGGATCCATGCACTCCAAAAGCATTCAGTCTTGCCAAGGTTCAGTCAAACTCTGTTATCCCCATCCAGGTCACTTCAGGCATTGCGAGAAAGCAGAAACAGCATAATTTGAGTCACCAGGTGTAGAGCTGACTATCATCAGCATATTGATGATATCTGAACCCATGGTAACAAATGATCTCACCCAATAGCTTCATGTAGATGTTAAACAGGAGAGGAAAGAATACTGAGCCCTTTGGGACATAGCAAATAAGCAGTTGGGGGCTGGATCTCTTAATCCTATCAACACCAATAGGGACCAACCTTGAAGAAAGGAACTGAACCAGCACAAAAGTGTGTCACCCAGCCCCAGCTCATGTGGCTGGACCAAAAGGATATCATGGTCAGTGGTATCAAAGGCCACTGAGAAGTCAAGAAAAGCAAGAATGGTTGTACTACCCCCATCCCATTCCTGCCAGAGATTGTCCATGAATATGATCAAAACTGTCTCTGTCCCAGAGCCAAGTCTGACTGAAAGAGTCTAGGAAATCTGTTTCATCCAGGACCCCCAGGGCTGCCAAACAACTACATTTTCCACTACCGTCTCCTAAAAAAGAATATGGGAGACTGAATAAAAGTTGTCCAAGCAGATGGGTTCCGGTGAAGGTTTTTTAAGGAAAGGACAAAGCAGGGACTCTTTAAAAGCTCCTGGGAATGTTTCCTCTTGCAGTGAGGAATTTTCATTGCATGAACCCATCTGCTGATCACCATCCTTCAGGCTTTCACCAGCCAGGAGGACAAGAATCTAATTGACCAGAGGTTGCACTGACAGCACACAGGATCATATGAAGAACAGTTGCGGGAATTGGGTATGTCGAGTTTAATGAAAAGAAGGACTAAGAGTGACATAATAGCAGTATTCCAATATCTCAGGGGTTGCCACAAAGAAGAGGTTGACCTATTCTCTAAAGTACCTGAAGGCAGAACAAGAAGCAATTGGATGAATCTTTGGAAGATTTAATACAAGAAAATATTATTTACTCATGGTTTCATTATAGACAAATAGTGGAGAGGTGGAAGATAGATCGTAATGTGGGTTTCCTTAGAGAAGATGAGAATTTATTAAAACAAATAAAAGATCAAAGACGAACCCATATTAAGAGAATTTATGGGGTGTTAGTAGAATTGGATTCAGAAGTAGAATTAGTTAAAAAATGTATGGTTAAATGGGCACAAAATTTTGATGAACCGGTTCTATTAGATACTTGGGAAATTATTTGGGTGAGGAATGTTAAATTTACACAAGCCCAAAATTTAAGGGAAAATTTTTACAAAATGTTTTATAGGTGGCACCTTGATCCACAAAAAATGTCTAGTATGTATCCTGACTTACAGCCTAAATGTTGGAGATGTGGATGTTTGGATGCTACTTATTATCATATCTGGTGGTCATGTAAAAATATAAAAGCTTTTTGGATTAAGATAAGAATTTTTAGAAGAAGGGTAAAATTTACTCCACAACTGTTTTTGTTAGGTATTGTTTCTGATTGTGATACTAAAGAGACTATATTGATGTTAAATTTAATCACAGCGGCAAGGTTGTTAGTAGGGCAATGTTGGAAGAAGGAATCTTTGCCTACCTTGCAAGAGTGGTTTTTTAAAGTTTCTTATTTGGCGGAAATGGCAAAGATTTCAGCTTTCTTGAAAGACCAATCGCAAGAGAAGTATTTTTTGGTATGGAAAAAATGGATAGACTTTATACAATTTAAGTTGGATATAAAAAAATATTATTTAGCTTTTCAATAACTTATACTTAAAATTTAAGATATTTTATAGACTTTTTTCCTTTTTCTTTCTTCCTATTTTCTCGTATTTCCTTGTATTTTTGTTTTTTTTATACATATATTATTGTTAACTAGTTTACAATTTCTTTAATTAATGTATTTAGATTTGTTTATGGTTTATATTTGTTTTAAGACTTTTTGAAAAAATATTAATTAAGCCTGTATTCAGCTCTGGGAAGGTCGGGGGAGGGCATGGGAGGGTTGGGGGGGGTTTGGGGAAGTGAATCGTATTGTTTTGTAAAATTTAAAATTTTCAATAAAAAAAAGAAGAAGAAGCAATTGGATGGAAACTAATCAAGGACAGAACCAGTCTAGAACTAAGGAGAAATTTTCTGACAGTGAGAACAATTAATCAGTGGAATGACTTGCCTGCAGAAGTTGTGGTTGCTCAAAAATGGAGGTTTCTAATACAAGATTGGACAACCATTTGTCTGAAATAGTGTAGGGTCTCCTGCTTGAACAGGGGATTGGACTAGAAGACCTCCAAAGTCCTTCCCAATTCTCTTATTCTGTTATATAAACTCATTAGCTATACTTGGGGCTTCAGTCACAATGAAATGTTCCTTTGATAGCCTTCTGATGTAAAGTACAGACTCTTTGTAGCTTTTCTTCTAAACTACATTGTCTTTGTTTCATTTTAGGAGTTTCTCCATTACCTAATCGGTACTATTCTGCTTCTTATTGCATCCATTGTGGCAGTTGCCAAAAGCTCCAATTCAGCAGGCCTGGTAGCTGGAGCGGTGAGGCTGTTTGCCATTTTTTGTTACGTATAAGCAACTTTATCAGATCTTAAGATATATTTCAGTTTTTTCCCCATAATAAGCACACTAAAAGAAAGGAGAATTCATATATTCAAGCGTACGTATTGACTGAGGACTGGGTATGATAAATCTTAAAAAACACTGGCAAAGATATTTAACATTGCTTTTTCTCATTACTGTTCTAATCCTCCATTATCGAAAGCTATGTATCTTTTTTATTATGTTGCTTTTACATAAATTATAATAACTAAGCAAGCAATTATTCAACTTAATGTGCTGTAGGTTGAGGAACGCTTTATTAAGTTCAGTGGAATCTGCACAAGAACTCCAAATAGATTGTTTTCACATTGCTGGCCTTATACTATACATTGGGCTGTAATTTTGGCCCAAATAAAACAATGGCATTCTTAAAAAACTCCATCCTATTACCAGATTCTGCAGAGCTTTTGAAGTTATGAAGATTTCAAATTTCTGGGTAACAGCTATTTGTGGCTTGCTCTTTTACCTCAAATGTTGTTTAATAGCCGAGTACATGCCATATTCATAAAATAGCTATGTTTGAACTCTAAACTTAATGTTTAATGAATCAGCTTGGTGACTGCATGCTGAATAATCATTGGTACTGGACACATTTTAAAAACAAATTTACAACAAGAATTGCTCTAGTTGCTGAGCAGCCTGTTCCAGGGTTCTCATGCCCTCAATTTTTTACTCATCCCAGATAATGGAAACAGATTAATGGAAAGAAATTTCTTTCTTGTCTTCTCCCATTGCTCTTGATCGCTGTGTTTTCATTACATTATAATGAAAATGCATTCTGTCATGCTTTACGCAGAAAAAAGAAAGAAAATCTGTCTTGGAAAGGTGATAGTGGACAAAGCTCACTCTTTCCAATTACTTAAAATCATTTGTTGCAAATTGCAAACAGTAATTTGAAAGCAGATTTCTGCTGGTTGGAATAAAAGAGTGGGAGGGCAAAGAGGTATGCATTTGACAGTACCTGCAGTAAATGTCTATTTGGGTATTTATTACTAACCTCTGATCACAATTGATCACAATATTATTTATTTAGAATCTATAGAATCTTAATGTAAGATATTTTTGAGTATGATTCCTTTGCTGATGCTTTTTTTAAAAATAGGTCTTCGGATTCTTAGCTACATTTATGTGTTTCCTAAGTATATGGCTCTCTTACAAAGTCTCTTGTAATACTCAGTCAACAGGTAAGATCCCAATGAATCAGTTTCACCAACCAGCTCTGTGTTGCCCATTTTCTTTGCATTATTTAGTCCATAGAAAGATCCATTATGTTATTAGTTTGATTCTATGATCTATTTATATTTATTATTTAATTTGGGGAACGATAGGGAATTGATAGTGATCTGTTCCGCTTATATATTTATTAGATCTATAGAGCAAATGAAAGTAACATGTTCTTCGCTCAGGCAGCTAAGGGTGGCATGCACAGTATTTTCACTTTCAATTTTAAAACAACCTAATGGGAAATATTGAAATAAAAGACAATGACATATTTAAGGCCATCCAATCACTTCCATCATGACTATGTGTGATATAAATCTGGCCTTACTAAATTCTGACTTGGGATCCTAACCACTATTCCAATTTTGCTCTTAAAATAATAATCAATGGAAGAAATACTTTGGCAATTTTGCACATATTTTCATTGCTGATTTGGCCTGTGTAGAGAATAGCCAGAAACATGAGGGTTTTCTCTCTAGGTTATATTGTAGTCTGGCAGTGACACTGTAAACTGTTCTGGTCTAAGAAATTTGTTCTTATTTCCTTCTGCTCTATGCAGAATTCTGCAATCTTCTTGTATGTTCAAAATTTACAAAACAAGATTGAAGTATGTTTGATAGCTGTAGAATTCAAGATGTAGCTTTATTGCCAAGCAATTTATACTTCGTTTGTTAGTTATTCAAAAAATTTGCAGTTTCTTCACTGATCTCCTTTAGGTTAAGATTTTCTTGACCAACCAGGATAAACTCATATCCCAAATTTCCCATCTCACATATAGCTAGCTGATTTTTTTTATTTGCAATATTTCAGCAAGTGATTATTTTATCAATTAAAGTATATTTTTGCATCAGTTGTATTAAGCCAGGACAAATGGTCTAAAAAGATTTATTTAAAAAGTTGATTTATAACTAAGTGGGTAATCTTAGAACTTTAAGATGTATTACTTCTGTCTTCTTGTAATATTAGAGAAAGCTCCATTATGTTTTGCTAGTTAAATATAATAAACATTTCAGGTGCAGATATCACATTTCTATCACATACTTATGGGCTCATCACACTCCAGATTTTAATACAGGCAAAATTCACATTTGGCTGATTGTCTTTCACCCATCGTCCGATTTGATGGAAGGCATATATGCTACTCTAAGGTTTTCCTATTTGAGATATTTTGGAAGCCTTAAATTTAATGAGACATTTACCATTAAAACTCCAGTATGTTGATTTTAGTCTTTTCTCTTCTCTCCTATTATTTAGATGCTACCATGTGAGCCTTTTCTACTTCAAAATGTGCACACATGTTGAGGGAAGATACAACAGTCTGATTTCAGTGGCTCTGAAAAACGTTCTTACTGGGCATAGAGTGCCCTCTTCTGGCACTTTTGAGATACTTCTTGGGCTACCGCAGCCTGTTCCATCTGCTCGTATTTCTTGGATCCTCTGAGACAAGAAGGGCGGGCTGTAAGAAAAGATCCTGTGGGAAGGAAAGGATCCGTCTTTTAAACAAAGAAAAATGATCCTCTTTTAATTCCAGCTCCCAGTATTTCATGGATTGTAGACCAATTCTTTATGACTGCTAAGGGGAATCCAAATTAAAAAATCAAAATGGAAAATATATTCTGCGTCAATCCAGCTATGACCAGAAAAGTTGGAAACAGTCACTATGAACTGTTGCATCTCAGAAAATGTTTTCTCATCTCTCTGCATTTCCTGCCTTTTAAAATGGGCCTCTCATTTAACCAGCCGTGAATATAAGTTTGCTTTTTATGCTTAATAATATTGTTTAAGATGGTTCCACCCCAATGTTTGGATTGTGCTGCCCGTAATTCACACTTTTTTGGTGCAAAATTTTAAATGTTCTTGTTCAACCATACAATTTAAATTTTACATTCTTTTGATTTGTTTGGTTAGTTTTCATTTCTCTTACTATATATTTTTATTATATTTTTATAACTGTATGCCTATCAATATAAGGTCCATTGAGAATGAAGAATGTTTACTAAAAATCCACTACATTCTAGTGTTCCTTTTTCATGTTGTGATACACTATATAGTCAATTTATACTTATTTTATTACTAATGTACATGAAAATACAATTCTCTATTATTATCACAGAAGCAGTGTCAAATTATGTAGAATGGGTGAAAGAAGAATTCAATATATATTAGTGGAGAGAATGAAAAATAGCTATATTGATTTATTTTTTAATACTATTATGCATTTATAAATTTACACATAATACTTAGGGAAATTTCTAGTATATCTATTCTAAAGAAAGTAACTATTCTGGAAAATACAATTTTACTAAGAATGCTGACTACATGAATGCATGAATGATTATTTTGGCATTAGGATGTGTAGATTAATTTATTTTCTTTTTCTAATGATTTCTCTTGATGAAATTCTTTAGCTTTAGAATAAAACAGCACAACATATAGGGAAGACTGGGTAAATGACAGTCTGCAATGTGCTGGGAGAAATTTAAATTTTTCAGTAGATATTAGCTCCACAAAATTTAGAGAGCAATACATGAAAAAAGAGCCATACATGAAACTATCCCCGTCTGAAAGAATAGAAATATCCTTACAGCTTAAAAAAGGGCCTGCCTAGCCTTGAGGCTTGGGGAAAGAGTCAGGTTTTTAAAGAATGATTACCTGCACCATTGCCTTCTCTCCATTCAATGCACTTAGTATTTTGATTCTGAATGACAAAAATCCTAGCTAATATTTTTATACAGGTCAAAAACTTCCTGACGAAGCACCAGGTGCCTTAACTGAATGTAAGATCTCTCTCTCTTTTTTTTGTGGCTGCCTAAGTAACACACAATGCAAAATGTGTAAAACTGTTTATTCAATTTTATGCTGCTAACTTTATTGGTTAACAGTTAGCTGGCCAAGTGCTTTTACATATTGTGAGGTAGCCAAATGCTGTTCAAAGCGGATAATATAGGTCCTACCTGATGACTTACAAGTTAGTTTGACTTAGATGAAGCTCAGGTCATATTATAGGTTATAGACCTGGATGCCTGATTAGGATTCCAGAATACTGATAATGGGACCAAAGGTTTTATTTTTATCACTAAAAACTTACAGGTATGAAGGGAAAATCAATATATCTATCTCTGGGAAGGCTTTGCCTTCCAGAAGCTAAATTCCATCATTATGGAGAAGGATTTTAAATTGGAGCCCAAGAGTATTTCAAGGATAAATAATATTTCAGCCTCAAATATCCTTTAAACTTTTTTTGATACTAATTTTATTAGACCTTACAAGTGAAAAAAAAAATAAAAACTATAGATGAAAAAATAAGTGAGCAAAAAGAAAAATAGCACAAAAAAGAAAACATGGAAAAGGATAAAAAAGGAATATAATAAAGAAAAGAAATATATAAAGAAATGACCTATACCTTCATCACAAGATTTAATAACTGGTAAGGTTTTAAGCCAGTGATGGCAAACCTTTTAGAGACTGAGTGCCCAAAAACCGCCCCCGCCCCCACTCTGTCCCCCATCCCCCACCCCACCTGCCCACAGGACCACTCACTGCCTCCAGGGCCCGCCGCAGATCACCCTGGCAGCCCAGCAGCGCTATGGTGGCCACATCCTCTACCCGCGCCCTGCAGCATTAACTGCACGATGGGGTGTGAGGGCAGATTCTTGTCTAAGCTGCCTGGCTGCCATATCCTTGGCTGCGCTGCTCCGTGGGCCATGCTTGGGGGTGACTCTTCTTCAGGAGGGCTGCAGGACAGAGGGGGTCACGGGGGGAAGCAAGGCTGGGGCAATGGCACGTGTGCCCACAGAGAGGGATCTGAGTGCTGCCTCTGGAACCTGTGCCATAGCTTCGCCATTGCTGTTCTAAGCTATTAAGATACCAGTATATATATATATATATATATATAGTTTGTTAATTATTTGAGCAGCTACTGAATTTAGCTTTACATCTGCCAAGCAAGTTTTATGTAAACATGATTCACAAGTAAACTGAAACTTTATAAAGAAGAAGATGGATATCCAAATAAACATAAAGGGGGAGAAAAAAAGTTGGTTAAAAATTCTGTTAATATAGCTAGATTTTATTAGTGTACATTATTAAATATCAAAAGCAGTAGCATTGTTCCATAATGTTTTACAGCACTCTGTGGGCAGTTTACAGAGTCAACATATTGCCCCCAATAATCTTGGTCCTCATATTACTGACCTTAGAAGGATGGAAGGCTGAGTCACTTTGAACCCCATCAGGATCAAACTCCAGGCTATGGACAGAGTTTGCCTGCAATACTGCATTTAACTACTGCTCCATTTAGTGCTTGGTCACTTCATATATAGATAGAAATACATAAACACTCTACAATAGACTAACTGTAAATAGATTTTGCATTATGCTTGTATAATAATAAAATATAGTAAATAAAATTCACTTGTTAGTTATGAGGTTTTGTCCTATGTATACTCCCCTTCTAACACCCCAAAAAGTGCATTTCATTTATTTAATTTTTCTTTATTTTTAAGTAATCTATTTTATTATATCTTATTAAAGATAGATGCATTCACAAAATAGTGGCTTCCACTTTTTCTCCAACAGCTATTATTCAAAAGGCTGATAATCTTCCAAATGAACAGACTTATCTAGTAAAAGGTAGGAAAATGCTCTCTGTGGAAGAAAAGGCAAAGCAAAAGGCATGAATATAATATTATGCTAAGAAGACTGCTCACTTGTCATACTAGAATATTTCCTCTCTTGATAAAATGGTCCAGCTAATATCCACAAAAAAAGAGAATATAGTACTTCTATTATTGTAGACATATTGTTCTGGAGTCCATAACCACATAGCAAAACAGGAGATACAATATGTATCCTAGGATTACAGCATTAACAGAAAATTTGATGGAAACTACCAAGACTACAAATAGTGCCACCATCTTGGCAAAATTGTATACAAAATGTAAAATGTAGCCTTCTGGAATGCAAAACAATCGAATCCTTAGGAGTTGATCGCAATGTCAACAAGGTATATTTGTTCAGATGTTCAACCTCATATTAAATTTCAGCAACATTCATTCCAGTTTTATTACTGGCTAGGAATTCTAGAAGTGGTATGCACAGGAATTCGAATTTCAACAGTTTGACGAACATTTGTCCCTAAGAACTAAGATGCATTGATCTGCAGGAATCCAGTAGGTCTTAATCCTGAGTTAACATTTCAGTTTTGCACTACCACATGATTTACTGTAGATGGTCATCTTGCTTCCAGAATAGTTAAAAAACTGGTTTGAAATAAGTTTGGGATTATGACATAGAAAAAACGTCTAAAAATCCCTAGGGCAAACAGAATGTGCTGTGCCTTAAATGTTCGTCACAATTATAACTTTCTTAATTTCATCATAATGCAAGAAACATTTTTAAACAATCTAATAAGTTCAGGGACTTCTAAATTTTGGAGGCAGTTCCATCTAAAATTAGAAGATATTGATCAATCTGTAACAGCCCTGCCCTTTGGGATGTTACCAAAGCTAAAAGAAATTGTAAGAAGTAAATAATGATTATTGATTTCGAAGAAATAATTCTAGCGTCTTTCCTTGTTTTAGGGAAGAGGAAATGTGTAAACATTTGTCTGGTTATTATAATCTTCCTATTATAAAATATTGTAAGACCTTTACCTTAGTATATTCTAATACTGTACACTGCCTTAGCCCTCTTGGGAGATACCAAATAACTAGAAAAGTCTTGTCTCTGTTTGTTTGGAAACATTGAAATTGTGTCTTATTTGTTGCTGCACTTCCATCAAGTTCTAATTTTTATTTCTCCTCACAAACCATAACGATGTCACTTTTAATGTTGCCAGATTCCATTCCAGGGTTTGTATTAGTAGGAAGCAGATGGAAAAACATTATGCAATTTGGCTCAAAACAAAGGACATAATATGACAACTTTACTCAAGTTTATGTCATTTTCTTCCCCTTTATTTTATAATTATGTGTTCTTTTACACTTTTGCAAAGTAATTTTATAATGTTATGATAGGTTTTAAAACTATTCCTTTAGCTTTCTAATTCATGTTACATTGCTCCATTTTATTTTATTTCTAATTGGTTTTTTTAATGTATTTCTTTTCAAGTTCTATAAATTCTTTACATAATTATATACTTTTCTGGTTAGTGATTTTGATAAAGATGGTTTATTTTGATGTAATTGGGGAAGAGCTCATTACATTATATCCTATGCCAGGGCTTTTCAACCTTTTCATAGATTGTACCACTTTTAGGACATGACAATATTCAAGTACCACCAGTGCTTAACAAGGTGTCAAAAACCTGATGACTAAAAAAAAGGGGGGGGGATTTTTGGCTTTACTGGTTAGATTAATTTGTTGTTACAGAAATGGCTTGTTTATAATATTATGGAAAAGTAAAAAGTTGAGGTTCAATGTTAATGCTTCCTTCCTACTGCAACAGTGGAACTCAGGAGTCTATGCCTTTTCTTTTTCCCTTCTCCCCCTCACTTTTCCCTTTTTCTCTCACCCTTCACTCACAGGCTCCCCTCACTCTTTGCTAGCAAAAACCTCTAGCTTGCTCTCATTCACTCACATGTTGCTCACACAAGCTTCTCTCTTGCTCTCATCCACACACACGTTGCTCACAAAAGTTCTCTCTTGCTCCATTCACTCACACGTTGCTTGCAAAAGCCCCTCGCTCTCTCCTCACTGCTTCGCTAACAAAACCCTCTTCTCTTCTCTTCTCTTCTCTTCTCTTCTCTCTCTCCATGTGTTTTTTTTTCTCTCCCACCAAAACCTGCTCTTTTTGTAGCTTCTCATCTCTCTGCCTCCTCTTCCTCCTTTTCTCTTCTGCGTGTGCCAGAAGTTTCAATCAGCATGTAGCTACGCATGCAGATCCTGGGGCTTCTGCCGAGCTCTGAAGCTCCATCTGGTCTCTTCCAGGTCTGTGCGATGTTGCTTTAGCTGGTTCCCTCCCCCACTACACATGGCTAGGGGTTGCGTACCACCTGCCAGGTGCTAAAGTTGGGAGAACAAGAATACTGGATTTTTGCTCTGTCATTGATCAATATGGTTATTTCTTTTCACCTAAAACATATATGCTACATTCCTACTGATTTGGTGGGATGTTTTTAAATGTATTTGGTTTAGCTGTATCACAAATGAGATTATTTTCTTTCTTCTTTCTTTCTTTCTTTCTTTTATCATCCAAAAAGCTATGGGATAAGTACTGTAGAAAGAACAATGATTACTGACTCACAGTCCATAGCTCAGCTGGGAACTGAACTTGAGTCTATCTAGATCTACGATATGTTGGGTATTTAGTGCACTAGCTGTCAATAGTGATTTTTGTTATGTTTCTAGTTTGGTGAGGCATTGACGAGGCGAATGGTGCAAACAACAACTCTTTATTCAGTTCACAACAGAAGCAGCCCAAACTATTTATACAGCTCACTACTAGGTGGCAGCCAATAGAATTAAAGCAGTATTTCCCGTTTAAAGACAAGGTAATTAACATATAGACCTGAAGCTTAAACAGGTGCAGCCGTTTGACCGTTTCCAATAGTTTCTAAGTAATTTAACCACAATACATAACAATTTTATTCTGTAGCTTTAAATGGTCATGCTTTCCTTTTTATCATCTTGGTCGCACTTGTGTTGATATCCTTATAAACTATCCTGTATACTTAGTGGAAGAGACAATTTAAAAACAAAACATATATATCTATAGAATCATCTCCACAGCTGTGGAAGCTATCGCTTCTGTAATGAGACTCAGACTGAACAGATATACGGTAAATCTGCTAGAGATAATACTATGATAATAATACTGAATCAAATCCTGACTCAGCTATTTACAGTGATCTTTCCCCACCTGGTGCTAACCATAATACCTTACCAACCATGCTGGCAAGTTGAAATCTAAGCAATTTGAATAACATTTAAAGTGTGAAAAACTACTATTATGGTTGTATAAATAATACATGACATACAGAGTCCTATTGATAGCTTTTTTTAGATATACATATTGTGGACAAGAACCATTACTGTATATGCCGGCGTATTAGGCGACCCGGCATATAAGACGACCCCTGTCTTTATCGCCGAGTCGCCTTCCTAAAACGTCGTCTTATACGCCGGAAACTACCAGTATTCCAGTGTATAAGACGACTCGGCTAAACTCATCTTTGGCGCCAAGTTTAGCACTTCCGGAAGTTGTCTTATACACCGGCATATACGGTAGACCTTGTGATTGCTAATGTTGACCCCCAGATTGTATGTGAATTCTATTTGGGATCAGATCATATTTATTCATAAATGAATCCAATATTATATCTTTTTTATTTTTTTTCATT